GTAAGACATGGACACAGGACAGACATAGATACAAGACCAAAATACATAAAATACTAAAATGTTACAGACTGGTTGTACAACAGAGGATTGAGAAGATAGATAGGCCTAAGTGCTAAAGTGCTACAGAATAAGGTGCTCCATTTCTGAAAATAGAAATAAATAAATAGGTCTCCGATTCGACAGCCATATGTTAAAAAGAAACATCCGACAATGTTCATCATCAAAAAACAATATAGCAACAATAGAGTGCAATACAGGGAACATTTCCACAACAAACACCATCACATCAAGAACATCATCAACATCAGTACTATTCATGTTATAACAACCCCATCACTATTTAATTGTTATATTTATCTACTTATCCGGACTGAGTTTAGAAAGGAGATGGCAGTTGGAATGATTGAGTCCCTGTATATATTGCTCTTTACCGGGGGTAATCTAAACCGAAAACCAGAAGGTAGTATCTGAAACTCCAAATGAAGGGGGTAGGTGCAGAAATAATTGATTTGGCCTTCCTAACTACCTGTCTGTTGTACAGGTCAGAGAGGCTACACTGCTGGACACCTAGAATTTTACTGCTGACTTTCACTATATTGGAAAGGGCAGTTTTGGCCTTGACAGTGAGATTACCATACCAGCAAATTACCGAAAATGTTCATACAGTCTCGATGTACTCTTATTGACATGAAACGTTGACAGTTTACGAAGGCAAAACAGTCTTTGTTGGCCTTTTTTTGCAGAGCATCTCAGTGCTGGAATTAAAGTTCAACTTATTGTCGATCAGACTGCCAAGATACTTGTATGTTTCTACGAATCCCACCATCTGCCCATTGATGGTAGTGTTCTGAGGAGTTGATGACTTATGCCTAAAATCAATCAGCATATCCTTTGTCTTTTGTGCATTTAATTGATAATTTAATTGATCACACCAGAGCACAAAATCATCAACAACAGGAGCATGATCACCTGGGAGTAGAGGAGACTAACAATAGCAGAATCATCTACAAATTTTAAAATGTGTCTGTTTTCATGCTGGCTGCGGCAATCATCAGTATAAAGAATATAGAGGAGTGGTGAGAGGACACACCCCTGAGGTGACCCCGTCGATGATGACATCTCAGAAAAGCAACCATTTACCCTTACTCTTTCAATTTTGTCAGTTAAAAAGTAAAGAATCCAACCAAGGTCAAAGTTCTTTAAGAGCTTGTCAACAAATAAAATCCTTGCATGTGTTTTACTATACCTTCGAGGTTTTTGAATAAGAAATTTAACAGAGTAGCAGTGGCATCATCTATACCACGCTTAGCCCTATAAGCAAACTGTAGTGGGTCAAGGAGATTCTCAGTGTTTGTGAGGACAACTTTTTTAACCAGTTTTTCAAACTTTATTCCATAAAAAAAACTTCGTTTTTAAATTGTATTGTGGCAGGAGAAATTTCTAAAGTTTAAAAATATTTAATGTAAATGCTACATGAGTGTAAATTTATTCAAAAACTGGTTATTTACCCAGGACTTTTATACAAAAAAACAATAAACATAAGTTATAACCATAATTTGTGAATGAACACTTTAAACAACACCTTAATTAAGCAATTATATTGAAATCTAATTCCTTAATAAGAATAGTATAATGGAGGGCTGTTCAAGTAGTTTCATAGGATATTAAGAGTCAAAATATGACTATAAATGTTTTGCAAATTATGTTGGACTCACCTAGAATTTTCACAACAGTACATTCACCTCTCATTAGCAACAGCTTTGTTTTCGTGATGGACATAAACAGAGCTGTGACATGTTCTTGCTGGTTAAAAATTTCATCAGGTCCCTGTGTAGAAATTCATCAAACGAGCTTAAGGGAGTGCAACAGATCACCACCCTGTCTGCAGTGAATGATCCAACCACTAGGTGGCAACAAAGTAACATCAGTCTTTATCAGATTTGGCGTCATTAATCGTTCGGTTTGTCTTTTCCTTGCATTTAAGATGTTTGTGTTATATTGTACCATATTGCATGGATTACTGCCATACAAGTCCTTAAGACAGGGATGTGCAATATTGGAAAAAGCTTCAGGAAAACAGTTTTGTCATGTGTGCAGATGTCCCAGTTTAAAAATAATCATTTCATACACTTACATGCATCATGTGACTCAGTTAAGGCAAACTGATAATACAAGTAGAATCCCATTGTTATATTGTTTTATCATATCGTCATAGTTTACGTGAGGGGCAACACGCATAACAAATTTATGAGAGTAGTTTTTATTAGAATCAAAATCAGAATCAGCTTTATTTGCCAGGTATGTGTAAACATACAAGAACGAATCAGACTACAACAGATTGTGGTATACAAAACACATATATACATACCATAAACCAAGACAACAATAATGTTGACAGATTGAATAGTAGTACAGTTAGCAGAGTGCTAAAATTATTATTATTATTATTACTACTACTACTATTATTATTATTATGTACATATCAAAGGTGGATGTGATTAGTATATACATACAAACACATATACATGTATATGTATATATACACATACACACAGTGCAATGGAGCAGAATGCAAAGGATACTGGAATAAATTTGTGCAAAATGTGCATGTGTCAAGTCATCAAGTAGGTGGATATGATATATACATTATATACAATATATAGAATATATAGAATATGAACAGTATGAACAGCACTGAATTACAGAATGACAAATAAACAATAAGTAGTAAACAGAAAACAGGTGGCTGATTAGAGTCAGAGTTACTGGGTTATTATAAAGGAATTATTTCTGACACCATGAGTCAGAGGATAATTGTTCATCAGAGTGATGACCTGTACCAGAAATCAAAATGGTTAATTGTACATTTATAATTTATGACTCACATGAGTTATGGCAAAAAAAAGTATACAGTGCTAAAAAAAGAATTAGAACCAGAAAAATGTCTTGTCCTGTGCTAGAAAATTCTGATGTCTCTCACTTTGCATCAAGATCTTCCAGGAAGTAGGCCACCTTTCTCAGCATGCAATGGTCCTGCTCTGAAGCACTCAGTCGAACGACAATCAGCTTTGGCTTCTGTTGTTGTTCTGATCAAAGTAGCAATCAGAATAGGTCATAAATAGTTTTTTGTTTATCCAAAATCAAGACTTTGTGAGAATCAAAATACCTGACTCAGTATCAAAAGTATTGCAGCACAGACTCAACACATGCAGTATTTGTTTCACGGTCAAGTCTTCCTAACCCTCATCCTCTATCTCTTCCTTGTTTTCTGGGACTGGGCCTTGGAACTAGCAGCAGAAAAGGAGGCTGCCATCTTTGGAAAACCGTGTCAGCACCATGGACACCAACATGCTCCACGCCAAGAAGACCAGGCAAAGAGCTACAGAGGTGGGTTCCTGCAACACGGGCAGACAATTAGTGACTCTGACTCAAACTGTGATGCTGTTTATATACATGGCTAGTGCGTAGAGTGTGTTTGTGTCTGCATGAGAGCTGGCTAGCGGATGATGGGGCTGCACTTGCTGTCTTCGGTAAGATGACTACAAAAAATGTTCCATTTTAAGTTCCCAGATCCCAAGGTGACATATTCAGGTTGCTTGATTTGTCCATCCAAAAGTCTAACACTCACACAGGTCAGTTGCAGTTCTAAAGTTAAATACTGTAAGGTCAGTATGATTATACAAATATAATAGAATGCATCTCTGCATTCTTGGCTCATTTCTTTAAATCAATGTCCTCTTAAAACTAAGCTGCCCCTATCCTGTGCCTCATTAGATTTATAATGTTTTCACCTTAGTATCAAGTGTGACATTGTACTCTATGCTGTCCCAAAACACAATAGCAGTATTATTCATTCCCACATCCCAGTTGAAGAGTATTCATAATTCTTTCCCCCTAGGCTCACCTAATTGCACTCTGTCTGAACTATCTCAAGCTCATGATTTACTCAAAAGCTTTAACAATCTCTGTCAAACTACCCTAGATGTCACTGCTCCCATTACACTCTGTAGCAATAAGGGGCCCACCGCAAAGAACCCCGCTCTCTCAGGTCACCATCTTCGGCCGCCCTTAGCACATTATGAATTCAGATACCATTTAGGAAAAAGGGCGACCTCTGATAACAAGCTAGTTTCAACACTAGGTACTGGCCTGACCGTTTGTATTTAATTTCTAACTCCAGATTCAAAAGTCCCCTAGTCAACTCCTCTTCCTCTCTTGCTTTAGATTCCAGGCTGAATGTCCTTGGGGTCGAAGATCCTCCAGACCACGCATGCACAGCTTGGCAGCTTTTAAGGCACAGAAACAAAAACAAAGTTAGAGAAAAGCAGTAATTATCAAAAGCTTTAGTAAAGGAAGGCTTAGTTTTTTTCTGTCTGTGTTTTCACTCAATCATTAGTTCAATAATTTCTGCCTGTAAATGACTAATGAACTGTTCTTTCCAGGTTATCTCTCAGAGGAATGTCTCTTATCGTTGTCTTCACACATCATCTAATAATAAAATCAATACATAGTGAATCAGGTTGGTTTTGGGTGGTGGGGGGTTTCGTAACAGCTTTGGATGCACTTACAATGGCAGTAAATGTGGTTTAATAGTTATGGTGTCCTGGCAGTTCAGCTCAGATCTCTTGTCTTATCAGAATCAACTTGTGGACAGAAACAAAGAAAATCCATAGAGCAAAGGTTATCTTGCCGTCTGAATCACGGATATCCAAGGGGAAATTACACATGGCTGCAAAATAACCTGCTGAATAACATAAAAAAACATCAATATCTCTCTACAATTATTAATTTTGGGAAGGCTACTTGAATCACCCAGGAACAAACAGATAGTGGACATTTGATGTTTCTGTCCTGGGGAAGCTCTCAAATATTCAGAGGTCATAAATTCTTCCAGATTGTCCAATAAGGTTTCAGAAGGAAGTGATTGCTGTGATAGAACAAAATGGGACCAGGCCGGCCCACAAACACTTTGCAACTAACAGAATTCAGACACTTCCACTGTGGCAACACATCGTTTAATGCTTGGCAGAACTTAAAGGGCTTGCGTGACACTTGACAAACTCTAACTTCTACTCTGCAAGTAAGTTGAATATTGAAATATATTATGTTTGCTTTTCATAAGATCTGTAGACATATCAGAAACATATTCAAAGTAATAAACAAGAATTCTGACATAAATTTAAATCTTCCATGCTGCAAATTGGGTTTGTGATTCTACATGTAATCACAGAAGCTTGGTGATAAGAATAGTGTGTCAAAGACTTTAAAATACTTCTTTTAAGTAGCTTGAAGTTACTCATTAATTACAAAATGCAGCTGAATAGGTAAATAATGCAGAATAATACTTCAAGATATTAGCAGGGGCAAGCCAACCAGAGGGAGGAAACAATGACAGCAAGTTGTAATAATTAAACAGTATAAATTAACTCTTCATTGACAAACAAATTTAACTGCAATTATTAAGTACTTCCATGAACTGAAGAAACATTATGAAATAAATTATTCAAAGGCGACAAGTGCTTTTTCTTTACCTGTATTTTGTTTTGTATGTTTTCCCATAGATTGTTTTGCCGTAGCTTCATGTTAAATATGTACCAAATATGTATCTATTGCATTCACTGGAATTTAAAAATAAATAATGATTAAGTGCATATGAGCATAAACTATTATATAACAAAATATAACACAAAATAATAGAGCCAGGATAAAAAGAAATATGCAGGAAAACAGGTGAAGTTGATATACACAAACAGAATAATATTCTAAAATCAATTAGCATATAATCTTGACAACAAAGGATTTGTTTAAGTTTTGGGTCAAGAACACAAAGATTGCACTTTGCACTATTGCACAAACACTTTAACCAAGACAGCTTATTGTTTGGATGCACAATTAAACCACAGGAGGCATAAAAATTTGAACTCTTGAGAAGCCATTTATCATAAACTGAGATAAACATCAGCCATGTGTTCTCAGCCAAATCAATAAACAATAAAAAAGTTGATAAAAGTCTGACAGACTTCTTGCAAGGAAGGGCTTAGCTGATCATGACTGAACTTGATCATATGCCTTTCATCAGTGACAACTCAAGCAGCTGTCACATTACTTAAGTACAGTGTGAGAAAGTGATGACCTGACTGAAAAGAAGGTGGCATGGTTAAAGTTTGACTCTGAGGTAACACTCGGAGGTGAAAGTTGTTAGAGGTGGTTGGAGGATAATAATTTACCCCTCATGAGGACAAAAATACGTTAATAACTGCACCGCACTGAGGTCAAGGTTTTGCTTAATTAACCAAGACATACTTTCCTAGGACTTACAGGCCTTACCTTGAGGCAAAAGCAAATGGATAGTTTATGGAAAATGGCACAAAGTACCACATATAAAATTTTTATAACACAGTTTTGGTATGTTGTCAAACGCTTGCTGACTCATCCCTGTTTGCCATTGTTCTGGGTCACATCTGGAAGGCAACAGCCTTGCCAAAACTCAAAACTAAAGAGATAAGCCAAACTGATTAAAAAGAGGTTATTCCATGTGGGGGAAAATTCCCTGACCCAAAGGCTTGGTTAATCTTGTCACATTGTCATGGCCAAATCTATATCATCATGGGCTCAGATCAATACCTGAACAAGGTCAAGATTAAAGGTTTTTTGTCTTGAAGCACTCAGTCTATAAAAGACAGAAATATGAAGTGTCTCATGTCAATAAAGCTTGTTTGAGAAAACAAAATTAAATTAGCGATAAGGGCGAAACATGTTTTTCTTTTGCATATCAAGTCTACAAATACTAAATGACTTTTAATTTTTGTGAGCCAAAGGTTGATGACACAAGTTTTGTTTTTGTTTAAATATACCAAGCTTATGCAAATCCGAATAAGTCACCATCATGTACAAAAACTACATATTAAAACATTAAAACACTTGTTCTTTGACATTTCGTGTTATAATGCTAAGATCTGAGTGTGCTGAAATTTGAAATTTGTCTTTATAGTTTTGATGGTTCATGATTCTCACCAGGAGGGATCACAACTGTAATTTATGCATTTGTTTTTTAACAAAACAAGCTGAATGAACAAAAAAATCCTCTGCATGATTACATTATTTTATAACACAGATATTAAAGTGCCCACAGAGAGCTCTTAGCACAACTGATTTGGAAAGTGTCCAGACTGTAATGGAACTTGTGGTAAATAATCAGTAAGAAAATCGTGCTGTTGAAGTACATGTTTCACACCCAGAGCTGGTCAAGGCTCAAGTCATTTGCTCCTGACAGCCCGAGGCTCAGAGTGACCTAGGCTGTTTGCTCAAACATGAAGGGTATAGCCTAACAAACAAGTCTGAGAGCCTTTTACATTTTAGTCACATGTAATGAATAAAACACTGTCCCTCCAGCCCAGAGTTCACTTTGTCTTTTTATTCAGCTTTAACTTGTAAATACAACATCCTAACATGCGTTTTCCATCTCATCTCTGATCTTTCTACAGGAGACTCAAAGGTAGCGCTGGTCATGATGAGCATAGAAAGGGACGAGCAGGTCGTCATTGATACCAATTACACTACAATCCACACACTGGGCAGGCAAAACGAGGGCAGTCGGCTACGCTACATGCAGAAAGATGGCAGTTTTCCTGTGGTTTTCCAGAAGGTTCCTGGAGACTGGAGCCCATACCTGATGGACATCTTCACCACTCTTGTGGAGATTCGCTGGAGGGTGATGCTCCTCATCTTTTCCCTCTCTAACATTCTCTCCTGGCTCTTTTTCGGCCTCTGGTACTGGTTAATTGCCTATGTACACAAAGACGCTGATAATGACGAAGACAAACTCTGTGTGCACAACATGCGTGGCTTCACTGGAGCCTTTCTGTTCTCGATGGAGACCCAGACATCTATTGGCTACGGCTTTAGGGCGACGGCTGAGAACTGCATCGTGGCCATTGTTGTGGTGACAGTTCAAGATTTATTCAGCTGCATCCTTGACACAATTGTCATTGGTATTGTTGTAGCTAAGATGGCATCTGCTCGTAAGAGAGCTCAGACGGTGGGTTTTAGCAGGTGTGCAGTGGTCAACCTGCGAGACGGGGTTCTGTGTCTTTCATGGCGACTTGGGGACTTCAGAGGTAATCACATCCTGGAGGGTGTCACCAGGGCGCTGTTAGTCCGCTCTATAAGACAGCCATTGGGGTCTGTTGTGATGTCATACCAGGACCTGGACATCCAGAAAAGAGACATTGTCCTCGCAACACCAGCCACCATTGTTCACAAGCTGGAGCCTGGCAGTCCCCTCTATAGCCTGGGCCCTGACGACCTGCTGGGGGACGACTTTGAACTGGTGGTGTCTTTCACCTACACCGGTGACTCTACAGGTATGCTCCACCAGACGAGAACCTCCTATACACCAGCAGACATCCGCTGGGGTCAGCGCTTCCAGGACATGCTGAAACTGGGCAAGAAGCACTACAAGGTGGACTACGCTCTGTTCAATGAGACCACGTGGGTACCAGTGCCCCTGCTCAGTGCAGAGGAGTTTGACAGGGGGAGACGTCCTGTAGAGGGCAGTCAGTCCCACAGTCCACTCTTCCCTTCAGTCAAGAGAAACGGAAACACAAAGGTGAATCCTGACATCACTGGAGAGGTGATACAGCAAACTTGTTTGTAACGTAAACCACTAGAAATCCATACATTGTAATATTGGGTGGATTTATCCCATAAGTTTTAGAGATATTGTGATAAAATGTCCTCTTGTAAATATATTTATATGTGACATTATATGAGTATAACTGTTTTATGCTTTAGATGAATAAAATCCATTATCACAAATGTAAGTCAAGTACATGTTGTTGTTGTATATGTCCTTCTTAAACTCTGAAACATGAATTGTAGTAATACAGTTGTTTTCTGTCACTGTGGTACTATTCACAAAAGTAGCTATGTGGTTATATTTCACCACTACAAAAGTACAAAAACACAACTGTTCATCAAATGGTCCTTTTTTCACAACTATAAGTACATTTGACAATGACAATAAAAACATGTAGAAAGACATGTTGACATGTTGCACATTGAAATACATTATGTTCATACAAAGTACATGCATAGCTTTGGATAAGATTATATTCTCTATTGTTAAAATACCTTTTACTATCACTATGCTCATTGTTCCTAATTGATCATCGCTGACACATTTGCTTAGTATACATGTATGTATTTTTGTTTCTGATATGTTAAGATTCAAAACTTCAGAATCACCACCTTAAGGCGTGAGATGTTCACTGTATGTGACCTCAGTGGGATTCAAACCCACACCTTTGATTTGGTAGCATAGTGCTCTAACAAACAAAGTAACAAAGGACCACTGCAATGATTACAGTATGTACAGTACAATACTGTAAAATACACTACATGATTACCATCCATATTTGTTATAGTAATTGTTAAATTTGATTTGAAAAAACCTACATGTTGCATTATTGTAAAATACAGTAAAAGTTTGTTTCTTGCATCAATGATTGGAGAAGTTGTCTTCATTGATCACAACTTGTCAACATACTGTAGATTATGTAAATGATAGATTCTATAAATGTCGGGTAATGTAAGTGTATTGCCTAATGTGAAAACTGTGTAATCTGTCTTTTACAGTACACTGTTGCATACTACTTTCAGTACTTCTAAAGTGATTTGAAACATGTATCTTGCATTTTTTGTTATTGGATCACTGTTAGAACTGAAAAGATATCATTATGTTGTGTTTTGGTGTTTTCAAGGCATTTCATGAGAAACTAACATTTAGCACCAATGGTTGTGTGGTTTGAAGGAAAAACTGGCTGTGTTGCAAGTGTGATGAGTTTCCAGTTTTGTACTACAAGTTGTGAAATTTTAACACATACTTGCGATAATAGTACCAAAGATGAACAAAAACTGTAATACTTATGGCATGATGTGATGCCAGTAGGCTACTGTGTGAGTTCATCCTCGTTGAAGCTCTACACCGCCACCTTGTGTTCACTGAGTACATCACACATCACACATTCAGTGGTGATTGTAACATTTCACAATCAATCTTATTAGATCTACTCACTACCCAGTATAGTTGCGAGAGAGACAAATAGTTAGTGTCGCAACATATCAACTCCAATTTGGTAGTAGTTGACTAATTTCACAAATTACATGCATGTGTTTTTACATTTTAATTTATTCATCCATGTTTTGTAGCAACTCTGAAGATGTTTTCCACCCAGACTAAGGATTTCCAGTTTAAAAGTTCTCATTTGTCCTATGAGAGAAGAGGGTTGTCTCCTCTTGTCTTCCACTCAGACAGATAATATTGTGAGCTCAGAGCCTCAAACAGGCGCTGCAGCTTTCTATTGGCCGCCGCTGCGCCAGGGGCGGGGGATAAGCATGCGTGTTTTTAAAGTCTGTCTTTGCAACGAGAAACATCTTCTTCAGCATTGCTGGACAGGGTTATGGCAGAATTTGCAGCGCCACACGGGAAATTAAGTGAACATAATAAACGAGCAGCAAGAATAAAAGGGACGCGGTGTGCATATCTGGCGCATATGGGACTTATCACAACGGGGAAACGGCAGATTTGCGCTGCAAGGACCAACAGGTAGGTGCAATAAGATTTATCTCTAATGCTGAAACGTATGTCCTGTAAGAAGAAATTACTTTCATTAATGAAAAAAGCTGTTCCATGTGTTATTATGTAGAACTATTATTATCATATTATTGTTATTATTATTATTATTATTATTACATTGTAGGCTGCTGTCTTCATGCACCTGCCTTTGGATATTGCAGGATATACCTTGGATGATCTGCATTGCTCCTGCCATTGATTTGAACTGAACTCTGTAGCTCATGGTGCCTATAGATGAGTGTAATACTATACTGGCCATGTAGCGCAACAAATGTATATATAATAAATATTTATAAATTTAATTAATACAAATATGTAGCATTAATGAAAGGGCATCTATTCCAAAATAACAAGTGGTGTCAAAGCTTGTAACAAAAGATGTCATCTGCTGAATGATTGGCCAAAGTTATTGATTTGAGTAATCATAAATAGAGTAGCTTTATGTAACCAGTTTCCATCTGCCTCAGCTGTTGGCTTGTATTGAGAACACATGTAAAACAAACAGTTACAGGTTTTGCAGCCTCTGGAAGCCTTGGTCTGTCACCGTGTACCAACCTGCCGTACTAAATGATGCGATATAGTGAGCCGATGAAAGCTCAGCGAGAGAGAACCCAGTAAACTGTGTGACAGTTGTAATGAGAGGAAGAGAAAGGGACCTCAGTTTGTGATGTGCTCAATGTCAGAGAGTAACCTATATTAAAAATGTATGCACTGTTAACTGTTAACTTCTGTAAGAATCAATGTATCACAAACATTTCCTCTCAACTGTCAGCCATACTCTTCTCTCCAATCATGTAGTCTAAATTACACTAAACTAAAGTGTATTCTAAGCTTTGTGCAGCCAAAATAAATAGATGAGTGAATGGCCAGTATGAACATGAAGTAAACTGGATATTGTGCTTGTAATAAGAAAGATGACATGGTCTAAGTTTCCTTTCTCACTAAGTAATGCAAGTCATTTGTGAATGGTTAATAATTTAATAATCAGTTTAATAATTAAACAAAGTAGCACTTTGGAGATGGATACATCATTTTCAATATCATATGAAATCACTAAAATCCAATTAAATTCTTTCTTTGAGCTGAATGGAGCCCCATATTCCCATTAGTGTATGTGACAGGTTGCTATTTCTGGTCAACCCAGGAGTGACATCATTAGTTGAGAAAAACACTGATGATGCAGGGGGATTTAGGACCATGTCCTGCACATGTCCTCCCACATGACTTTTGATCACTTTCAGATCAGTTTAATACACAATAAATTAGATGATGGAATAAAAAAATAACACCCTCTGTTAACAAAGGTTTCCTTTTTGACATAAGCACCATGCTTTCATAACTAAATCAAGGAAAATCTATTCAGAATATTTACTGAAAATGGCCCCTTTTTACTTTGACACAATAGTGACCCTCAGATGGGACAGACTCAAAAGTGGAGGTGGGGAGTTATTTTGGCACAAGCAGAGCATGTCTGGCTGACCATGGCCTTTTGTAGCCTGTGGTGTTGCATTTTAATGGACCTTTCAGGACACACACACCAAGTCAATAACATTTCTAATTTAGCTGCCCTTGTTGCTCTATTACATATGATGCAAGGTTACTGTTGCTTTCACGGAAAGAGCGTCATCCTCTCTGAAAAGCTGCAGGGTTCATTAAATTGTATTACACGATTCAGTGGTGCCAACTGTAGTTGTGAATTAGTTTTCGCCCTGTATATGCACGTGTGTTATGAAACTGTGCACTTAAAAACTGAGATAAAATAGTATGAAATGTAGTAATTAGTTTGTTTTTAAATGCATGCAACATGTTCTGACTTTATGCATTTCTTTCTCACTTTATGTCTTTGCCTAATTAAAACATTAAGCATGGTAAACATCCTTCCCACTTTGTCAGCTATCTAAGGGCTTGAATAATATTCTAATCTACCTCTGATAATGTATGTACAATGCATTCCCTGTGCTTTCTGACGGCACTTCAGACACTGTTTGTATATTGTCTGTGTGTGCAAGAACAGTGCTGCTAACTTTGAGTGTGCAATGCATTATTAAGGCAGCACAAAACCACACACCCACACACACTAGTCTTTGCTCTGGTTCCTGCCAATTGCTTTAAACCAGTTTTCTTCTCTGTCTGTAATTTCCACAGCCCACTTCACTGATGAGGTCCAAAACAGCCATCAGATAGGAGTGACCTGCCCTCACCAAAGGTGCACAGCACGCCTGTAGAAGCACAGGCCGGTCTTCCCAGTACCCTGCCGGATCTAGTCCTGTTGTCCACACTTTCTGCTTGAGTTTGTCCCCGGGATCATTCAAAACTGTTTCTCCAACGCTTCTACCAAAAACTTAGACTGTTTTCCACAGCAGAATCGGCCCAGCCCTCCCAGGCGGAAGTAATGGGGAGTGTGCGAAGCCACCGTTACAGCATTGTGTCCTCTGAGGAAGATGGCATGAAGCTGGCCACTATTGCTGTCCCGAATGGCTACGGCAACGGCAATGTCAACAAGGTGCACACAGAGCACCAACATCAGAGCCGCTTCGTCAGCAAGGATGGCCACTGCAATGTGCAGTTTATCAATATGAGTGAGAAAGGCCAGCGGTACCTGGCAGATATCTTCACCACCTGCGTGGACATCCGCTGGCGCTGGATGCTGCTCGTCTTCTGCCTTTCCTTCCTGCTGTCATGGTTGTTTTTTGGCTTAGTCTTCTGGGTAGTGGCCCTCTGTTACGGAGACTTAGACAATGAGACTCAGATGTGTGTTTCCAATGTGGACAGCTTCACCGCTGCCTTCTTGTTCTCAGTGGAGACCCAAACCACTATTGGCTATGGTTATCGCTATGTGACAGAGGAGTGCCCCGTTGCCGTCTTCATGGTTGTCGTCCAAAGCATTGTGGGCTGCATCATTGATGCTTTCATCATTGGTGCTGTCATGGCCAAGATGGCTAAACCCAAAAAAAGGAATGAGACCCTGGTGTTCAGCCATTATGCTACAGTGGCCATGAGGGACGGTAAACTTTGCCTGATGTGGCGTGTGGGGAACCTGAGGAAGAGTCACCTGGTGGAGGCCCACGTCAGGGCACAGCTGCTCAAATCCCGCACCACCGCTGAGGGTGAGTTCATCCCTTTGGATCAGGTAGACATTGACGTAGGATTTGATAGTGGCATTGACCGAATCTTCCTGGTGTCTCCAATCACCATTGTACATGAGATTGATGAGGACAGCCCATTCTATGAGATGAGCAAACAGGAGTTGGAGACATCAGAATTTGAGATCGTAGTGATTCTGGAGGGCATGGTCGAGGCTACAGCCATGACTACTCAATGTCGGAGCTCCTACGTGGCCAGCGAGATTCTCTGGGGCCACCGCTTTGAGCCAGTGCTCTTTGAGGAAAAGAACTACTACAAAGTGGACTACTCTCGCTTCGAAAACACGTATGAGGTGCCCAGTACACCCAGCTGTAGTGCCAGGGAACTAGCCGAGAAGAAGTCCGACGCCTCTAGCTCAAGGAACTCCTTTTGTTACGAGAACGAGGTGGCTCTCGAAAAAGTCGAGATGGAAGAGCAGTTTGAGGGGGAGGGAAACGGGGAGATGAGGGATGTCGAGGTTGGTGCACTTGAAGACACAAACACAGATGTGGTGTCAGACTCTGAATGCAATCTGGACTCCTTGCCTTTAGAATCAAGGCCTTTGACAGCAGAATCAGAAATATGACTGCAGAGATAAAGAAGGGTTAAATACTAGAATGTGGTATGTTAAAAACAGCTTGAATTTGGTAATGATTGCTGTTCTTTATAATGCATGACAGTTTGTAAACGACTGTGATTTGAGTATATAGTTCTCTATGCAGAAGCTCACGCATAAGACACCATGGAAATCCAGACTTATATTGTTTATAGTAAAAGTGGTGATAAATTTACTGGTTGCATGTTTTGTACTGAGCATCCTGGGTATGATAGGAGTTTCTGTGGCCTAAATGTCACATAATGATGTGACTGGCTAGAATAATGAAATCTATTTAATTTAAATGTAAAAATTAAAAAAAAAAGATGTGAACCTGAAACTTTGAGATTTATTATTTTTAAATACCAACCTAAATTAATATATATTTTTTGTCATTTTAAGTTCAGGAATCTTACTTTAAAAGTTGCTAAAATCATTTAAACCACTTGCACAAAGGCTACTGTTTGTTAACGAGCTGGTCTCTTAGCAAAGTATATTTACAGTCTTCTTCAGTGTTGTGTTGCTCTCATGGTGTGAGGCAGGAAAGAGGTGTCTTGCACAAGTACACTAATGCTCTTCAACCGATCTTGTTTAAGTATAGTATCTTTTGCAGCGTGTGCCTTAACAAAAATCTCTGTCCTGGTGGATGCACTCGGGAGATTTGGCTTTGACTGAGCACACGCTGCAGCAGATGTCACAGGAGGAAGAAGCATTCACAGGCATTTCACTATCCAGTATGCTGCCACTCCTTGCAGGTATTCTTGTTATAATGTGCAATATAAATCATTGGTAGAATGTGACAGGAAGCTCAACCCTGTGCCGAGGTTATGAATGTTAATGATAAGTGCTGCTAAGTTACATATTGTATGTTTAGGGAGAAATCTAGGAGCCATAATGTATTATTTGTCTTTTAAAGTATCCATTTTGAAGATTACAGATGCAGCTTATAATGGAATTTCTTGATGTAGACAAGCATGATTCTGTCAGTGTGTTTTCCAAAGCTTTAGTGCACTCCCCTCCCCCATAACAGCAGAAACTGTTTAATTACCCAAAGCCAAATGTGTACATACATATAAGATGCAAGTGTAACTCATCTGTTAGTTGAAGTTTAAACCTGAACTTTTCCTCATCTAACGGCGCTTGGCTTTTGAAACGTTGCATTATTTGAGTTGATTTTGATGTAGTCGGCTTTATATTCACATCAGTGTTGTTGGCATGGCAGATGTGCAGAATTTGGACACATCCTTGTTAACCCTCACACATCACCACGGCGGGTCTTGTGAAGTTATTTGTCATTTCTGAATGGGCCCTTGCTTTGTCTTAATAAAGATCAGGTCTGTTGATTAATATTTCAGTTACAATCACAAATCCTGAACAGATGTAGCACACTTGACTTCAGTCTTACTCAAGATTGAGCTTTAATGTTTTTTATCTTTTACTCTAGGTGTCAATGTGACACATTCATGCTTGGATAATGGTCATACGAAGCCAGAACACTCTACTGCTTCTCTGAAAAGAAAATCTATTAAAACATTTTATCTGTTCTCGTACTGATACCTCTCCTGTCTTAGGTCTTTATTTTTCTACCAGGATCTCCCCACTTTCCTGCACAAACCAGACTGTACAGATTTTTTAAAATCTTTTTGTAAATTATAAGGTAAATAATGTATATTGATATTGCAGTTGATGAAAACTGTTTATGTCTTTTTTTCAATAAAAACATATAAAAATCATTATGAAGTTGATGGATTGATTGTAAACAACAAATAGATGATATTGTGTGCATGACACATGAACTGAACAATTTTTACCAATCCTTCTATGTTTACGTGAGCAAAACTTTACAAAGGAAAAGCGATTTGCATTTTGACCCAAAATGTGTGACATCTGGAGTTGGTGAGCCAAGGCTTGCTCGACTGTTTTAGCTGTGGACACACATGCTGCTTCTCTAATTTGGAGCTGTGGCCCAAATTCCAGGCTGCTAGCTGTCAGAGCTCACGCCATCATTTAGTATAATTCACTAAAGTGACTCACAGAGCCCACAGAGACCCCATGCTATATCAGTTGGCTCCGCTGGAAGTCATTTTCTATGACAGCGATGGAAAAAACGCCTCATTTACTTTTCCCAGTCTCTTTCTGTAAACTGTGGAAAATAAGTGTATTCTGCACCACGGAGTGTCTTGAGGATTGGTGTTAATGTGTAGAATTAGCAGTAGGATATACTGTAGAATTCATATGTCTCAAAGCCACAAAGTTTGAATGAACAAAAATATGATCTGCTTTTTTTCAGAGATTTTCAACAGAAATTATTAGTTTAATGTGATCTGTCTACAAAACCACACAATTGCATAACACACCAATTCTCCAGAGAGGATGCAGCCAGCATTCTGTGATCACCCACCAGGTCCTCTAATCCAGCATGAATATGCATAAAACACTATTAAGCAATAGATCAGTGATCAATATGGTTGTATCAGAGATGTACGTGGGTTTGCAGTATGATAATCTGTCTGCAAATTTAGTTAGTTTCCATCCAGAGCTGCATTCTGCCTGCATGAGACGTAGTCGGGATCTATTGATCAGACACATCCGCAGGGAGGCAGTGAGCCGATTTGATTTGGTTCTACATAGGAAGCGGGAGCTGCCTCGGGACTTTTTCCACATTAGCCAATGAAACTGCCACAAAGCTCCGGCACGAAGTGAAAATTGGGTCTGTTGCTTTTCCTTTTAGAAAAGAAATTTCAATTAATTCACATTAAGTTAGTTTTCACTGCCTTAAATATAAAAGCTGATGATGTTTTTCTGCTTTGCCAAGCCTCGGAGTCCTGCAATAAGGTTTGTTATATGAAAAAAATTTGATCACTTTGTTCTAGCTTTCTTCAAAAAATGTCATCTCGGATAGAAATGTCATTGCTTAAGTCCTGAAACCTCTGAAATGAAATAAGCTGGTGGCTGTTCAGTCATGCTGGGTGAACTGTAAACTGAAATTGACAGCCATTGTTGGCCAGAGAGCTCTTGTCGATGACGCTGATGACATCTCTGGTGGATTCCCCTGAACTGGCTTATTAGCAACAGGCTGGTCAGCTTGACCTTCAGATTATATGAATATAAACATAACAATTCCTCAGCAGAGTAAAGCAACATATCATACATAGTATTTGACTTATCAAGACGGAAAGATCCTTCAGTGGTGTTTTAAAGATATCCTCAATGCGGAGCTATATGAGCAGCGGTCTGGCTGGTTTTGATCATTAAACACTTAATTTTCTGCATACTGGTGAAGGTTTCTGATTCAATTTATGGTGGAGAGAACAGAAATCTTGGCCAAAAATAAACTGTGTCAAGAAGTTGTTAAAGATACTTATTTGGTGCTGCTCGTTTTTGGGTCATTTTAAACCTTGTTGTTTTTTTTTTTAGCTTATGTTATGTTTTTGGACAATGCAGATTTGTTTCTTCTATATTTTAATTGCACTGCATGTTGTCTTAATGTATAAATAAACCTTTCTGAAAGCATTTTCATTTGTTATTTTGACGGCAAGCTATATTTCACACTGTTTTAAACAAATTATGCTTTTAAAAAGTGGTGGGGACAAAATCAGCCATTTCAAAAAGTGGTGGGGACATGTCCCCAGCGTCCCCAATGTAAATGACACCTATGGTTCTGTGCTACATATGGTTTCAGCATTTTGGACGGATGAACACCTGTAGTGGAATGGACATATTCCACACCCCAGACCTCAGTATGAACCTATAAAACATAAACATATGATCAGTGGAAATGAAGCATTTGTCTTCTTGGTACCCCTTGTGAAAGCTCACTGCTGGCTTATCTCAGTGACTGTCACTTAGAGACAGTTTATACGCATAATTTTAGAGAGTGTTAAAATCACAGGCATATCTACCGCTCAAGAGGAAGTGTGTGTAGTCTGGACAAAGTCTTTCCTGAACATATTTAGAAAAGCTATTATTTTCAAAAAATGATCTGACTCTGATCTTGTATGGGGTACATCCACAGCCTACTGCTTTATAAATAGCTGTAGCTGCATGTGTTTGGCCTAAATTCATGTCTTATGAGTGCCGCTGAGGTCAAAGAAAGCTGGACTTGGGTTGCTGTCTTGATAACATGATATATATGATTATAAGGGAGGTGTTCAGTGTTGACGATGCTCTGTCTGCAGTGCCAAACATCAAAAGACATAATCGCAGTTCAGTGCTTGACTGAACTGAAGCATACACAGTTTCCATACATCTGATAGATGTGTGAAAGATGTGACGTCTCTGTTACACTCAGCTACTCCATTTTGGGACGTACAATAATCTTGACAGTGTGACAAAGTAAAGCTGTAGTAGAGGTGACACTCACAAATTGTGACCATTTATTTGAAAATGGCTCATTGCCTCAACAACTCTGGAAGTGGGACAGAACATGCACAGGACGAACTCTTCTCTGAGGACGAAAGTAAATACAAGTCGAAGGGATGCGCATGAAGGGAGCTTTGACCTTGTTTTTGACAAGCATAATAACTAATGGAAGATGTTGTCTTCATAGCGAGTAATTAACGGCCTGCTGAAGCCTGTGATCTGATACAGTCAGGTCACTTAGACTGGGACTATAAGAGCTTATAATGCAATTATAAGTCATATTTTGATTTTCAGCATTGAAATCTGTAGCCTCTTTTTAAACCGTCTAGGCCAGGCCTAGAATACTGCAAAATAAATCATTTTAACTTTTCATACAATGTTTCATACTGATGGGTCCGAACCACTGAGTTTTGCCATATGTATAGCTTGAAGTCTGGCCAGAAGGATTCTTGTGTGATCTCGCAAATCCAACCGCCTCGCAAGGAAAAGTTGCGTAAGGCCTCTGGTGGGTCTAACAGCGTAGAATAGACCTGCTGCCTCTTGCAGCCAGCTAGTCAGTCTATGCTTAACTGATGGGGAGTGGTGGGATAAGAGGCAATACTGATACGCAACTGTTGTCTTCAAACTGCAACTTGGAGGGTGATTATGTTACCATTTATCCTATGTGACTGTCTGCTGCAGAGAATGCTAACCTAATCAGCAAAGAAACGCAATCTGAATTCAGCAGTGGTGTGTCAGCTAACATGCTCCAAGAAGTGGTAGTGGTCGTGGATGTAAGCACACAAAGGTGTAGGGGTTAATGTGGTCAGGGTACATTCAAATTTTATGTTTTTGATGAGAATTTGTAAAAAAATTAAATAAAAAAAGACACATCCAACTGCCTTCAGCTGTAAACCTATATCATTCTGGCCATTTCCTACATTCAGCAAATTAAAATGACCTGATGGAGCATGATTTGAGTGTGTGAGATATTAGCATACGCCAACACAGTAGACCCGTAAGGTTTTACTGTTAACTTTAAACAGGACTGGAGTGTCAGATCACAGATAAATGTGTGTCACCCAACAGCCAACAGCTGACACACTTGCCAGAACCTTCTATTGCTGTGTGTTAGTGTGTGTGAAGAGGTTTCCGGGCTAGTGATAGTGAAACTGCTGTTGTTTTGCATGCTTGCTTTCCCCACTTACATTTAATTATAGTTTAATTTTGGATTTTTGAACTACAATAACCTCAAACATGTACACAAACACACACCTGTTGACACTCATTTTGTCTCTATTTTTGACAGCTGAGTGTCTCATGACAGGGGGTAGTGAGGAGGGTGGGGGGAGGAGAATCCAGCAGGTACAATATGTTGGACAAGATTCAGGCTTTTTGCATTCCCTGAGCCTGCTGAAAGATAATATGTATATTTGTTCACATGGTTGTGTCTGGTCACACAAGCAGCAACAAAAAGGCACTCGGCACACAGCAGCTTACAATGCAAACGTGTGCTTGGTCATCTGTGAGTTGTTTAAATTGTTTTACTTTTCATGTAATATATATTCTACATTTGTGTCATTGTTTGAGATTATGTTTTTCACATACAGTCGTCGGGGAAGAATAAATTTACAACAATCACATTGCTGTACCTCTGTCAGTAACTGCTTTTCTATTCATGCCGCTGACCTTTATCCTTCTGGCACAGGCTCCTCTGACCTTGACCAATACATCCACAGCCAGGAAACAAAAGTGATATCTACTTAATGCTCATTGTTGGCTCTTGACCAACATCACCTTGTACTGAGAGGACTTGGCTCGGTGTGGTTTTGCACTTTGTTGCCTATAATGGAGGCATATCATTGAGTAAACCTCCCTGACCTCCATCATAACAAGTCGTGCTGGCGGTGTGGGAGTTAAAAGCGACGTATGTAAGCAGCAACACACTCTCTCTGAGTGTGAAAACTTTTATGTTTCTCTCTTCCATTTCCTTCTGAGATTTGTTATTTTATTCTTGTCCTGTCTGTGGTTATCCTGCCAGGGTCTCTGCCAAGTCTCCCCTCAAAATAAAAAACTCAGTGAGAAACTTAGTGAGTGAAGCCTGGAAAGTAACAATGAATGGAAATAAAATAAAAAGTATTACAAAAACATGGTTGATTTCTAGAAAGGAGAATTTAAAGGACAAGAGATACTTGAGACAGGCTTGTTTACGAGGACAGCTGAGGAGAGATGCATACCTCTGAACTGTGTCCAGCCTTTCAGTGACAAAAGTTACCACCAAACCGGTAATGTCAGCCAGCTACCATGTCCATACACACGGACCACCAAATACATTGCATATTTATATCTGTTG